ATTCCTGCGCCTAGTGCAGAGATTGTGGGCATTGGAGGCCTCCCCCCCAAATCTCAATGAGGTCCACGATCTCCGCACTAGACCAGGCAGGCTCCTGGGGGACGCCAGTCTGGACCTGGGGAGCAGTGGAGGGATGGGTGGCAGCGGGTTGCTGGCTCATCCTGTGCCAGGTGCACGGTCTGCTGGCTATGTGCTGGCAGGCTTGCAACTGGCGCAGGCACTGTGGCCAGAGTCTGCCCCTTTAAGGGCTCTGGGACTGGGGGGGAGCAGATGAGTTTTCCTGATTGTGCCCAGAATGGCCACTAGGGCTCCCTGGGAAGGGCTGGAGGCCCCCTAATTTGAAATAACTGTCTACACAGCACTTATTTTGAATTAGCTATTTTGAATTTGGTGTTATTCCTCAGAGAATGAGGTTTACCAAATTCAAAATAAGTGTTCCACTATTTCAAATTTATTTCAAAATAGCGGTTTGGCTGTGTAGGCGGCTATTAAAGTTAATTCGAAATAACTACTGTTATTTCGAATTAACTTTGTAGTGTAGACATACCATCAGTGTTTTGTGCTGTTATTTAGCTCCAATTTATCCCTAAATGTCTTCTAAAAGCCAGTAAGCAGTGAAAGTGTTGGTGATGCCCGCTAGGCAATATTTGACCTTCTGTGGTTCAGCAAATTCTCTGGTTTGGCACCGGTCAGATCCCAAGAGTGCTGGACTAGAGAGGTTCAACCTGTAGTGCAATCTCTATCATGAAAACTCAACTTACAAATGTAGACTTATGCACAAGAATAAAACAATGTAAAACCTGAGAACCTGCAACTCCAATAGCTCAGAAAACCAAGTTTCTTTACATTTGCCAGAGATAACACTGCCAGCTTCTTGTTCATAATGTCACCTGAAAGTAAGAATAGGCAGTCACATGGCACTGTTGTAGCTGGCACTGCAAGATATTTGTGCACCAGATGCACTAAACATTTGTGTCCCTTCATGCTTCAATCATCATTCCAAAGGACATACAACTGAAAATTAATATATTTGAAAATATTTAATACATTTCAACTAATATTCTTTTAATAGTGCAATTAAAACGGCCATTAACCACAATTAATCTGAGTTCAGCATGTGACTTAACTGAGATTGATAGCCTAATTAAAAGCAGTAAGGCATTGATTCAAACAGAACCAACGATCCACTGTAATAAGAACAAAAGCAAAACTAATTGTAGCCAATGTTTACAATCAGATGCACATAGTGTATTATAGCAAAAGTTCAGTGTACAGATGACAATGACTTTGCTATTCAAGCATAACAAAGCCACCAAAATGAACAGCACCCTTTAGAGTCCAATGCACTGTGCCATCCTAGAACCGGATACATCTTAAGAAGTCACCTTTGCTAGTTATTCATTGCTGTGAAAGTAAAATGCTCATTATAAGGTTCCCCTCCCTCCCTGCCCCAGAAAGAAACAGTAGCAGGGGGGGAAGAGGGACAGCATACAAATAAGAGTGGTCACATGGCAACCGGACAGATCCAGATTGTATATTTGCATAAAAACCTGGCCTTAATCAGCCAGATAATTTCTTGAATCTAGACATGAGTCTGTAAGAGGGACTTGATTACAGAGAAAGGGATTTAGGACTCTGTGCCCCACAGCAAGATGTTGTGTCACTTGTGGTATCCCACTGCATGTGCCCATCCCTGTTACCCTTGTTCTCTGTTGCCTAAGCCATAGTAACACAGAGGCTTTAAGAATTACACTGAATAGGATTCAATACAAATGAGGCAAATGCACTAGCAGAATGTATAAATATTGCCCGTAAAACAATTAATTAATTCACTCAGTTGCATAATACTAGAGTATTCATACCACACCAATAAAAGGTTTAGAATGTAGAATCTGGAGGAAAACTTGGTACAATTGTTATTTGAAATATAATCACAGACTGCTACCATGTCACCCCGAATGCACAACACAAAGAACTGTTCTTAAGAAGCCAAGAACAGATTATTCTCACTAATCATTCACAGAAGAGGCAAGAACTCTCGTGCTGCAGCACAGAAAGCTCATGTTAATACTTGGAAAACCCTAATACTGTAAGTTTCAAGGGGTAGCTGTGTTAGTCTGTAATGAAAAAACTTAAAACAACGAATAGTCCTGCAGCACCTTAGAGACTAACAAAAGTGTACATGATATCATGGGCAGAGCCCACTTCTTCAAATGATGGAGTTAAGGGGTCCAGGGTACAAATAGAGAAAAAGAGGGGGGGGGGAAATGGGGAAAAAAATATTGTAAAGTAGTGTGTCTATGCTAAATAAGGCTAATAGAGTGGGCTTTAAGTACCCGGTGCTTAGCTTTTTATGTCATTAGGGTGTGGAATATAGTGGTCCACCCAGTTCAGGTCTTTGTTCAGACCTCAATTCCAGGTGTCAAACTTGTAAATGAAACCACGTTCTGCAGTTTGTTTGTTTTTAAATTGCTTTGTAATAACACAGTCACTTTTAGATCCATTAGAGAGTGCTCGGGCAAATTACAGTGTTCCCCAACAGGTTTCTGGGTTGTCCATTTCGCATATGTGATTTGGGTCTATTTGGCAAATATACATGGCAGAGGGGCATTGCTGGCACTTGATGGCATAGATCACATTGGTGGCTGTGCAGCTGTATGGGCCTCTGATGTGGTAGCTTATATCATCGTGTGGAATGTTGGTGTAGAGAGCTTCTACATCCATGGTGGCCAAGATGGTGTTTTCAGGAAGATTACTGATGTTCTGTAGTTTTCTCAGGAAGTCGATGGTGTCTCAAAGATAGCTACTAGTGCTGTTAGCAAAGGGTCTGAGGAGAGTGTGAATATAACCAGATAATCCTGCTGTAAGTATGTCAGTGCCTGAGATGATGGGTTGTCTGGGATTTGCAGATTTGTGGATCTTGGGTAGCAGATAGAAAACTCCTGGTTGGGGATGGGTGGGGGATGGGGGAGTGTTAGTGTAGATTTGGTCCTGAGTTATATCAGGAAGTTTCATGAGCACGTGGCTCAGGTTTTTTTGGTATTCTTTAGTGGGATCAGAGGAGAGAAGCACATAGAATCTGGTGTTGGTGAGTTGTCTGGCAGCTTCCTATTCATAATCTGTTCTGTTCATGAGGTCTACAACACCCCTTTTTGTCAGCCTCTTCGATTATAATTGTTTTTGAGGCTTTGTATAGCATAATACCATAAGAGTTCAAAAGTAAAATAAGATTACAAAAGTAGGATGTAGTATCACTACTGGAGAGGTCAGAGGTAGGGATGTAACTGTTTAATCAGTAAGCATCACCCTTGCTGGGTGATGCTTACTGGTTAACCTATGCCGCAGGTCACTTAAGAAGGATACGTCATGGCTGGCCATGCAATATACCAGGAGCTCCAAATCTACAAAGGAATCCAAAGTGCCTGACGTGCTCAGTGCAATGGGAAAAAAATCACCATCAAATCGCTCTTGGCATTCACAGAGCTACTACACATGGAGGACTGTTGCTTTGGGGGTTGGGAAACAAGTATTGCATGAGCAACAAGGAGTCCTGTAGCACCTTATAGACTAACAGATGTATTGGAGCATAAGCTTTTGTGGGAAAAGACCCACTTCATCAGATGCATGTAGTGGAAATATCCAGAGGCAGGGATAAATATGCAGGCCAGAATCAGGCTAGAGATAACGAGGTTAATTCAATCAGGGAGGATGAGGCCCACTTGTAGCAGCTGATCTGGAGGTGTGAATAGCAAGAGAGGAGAAGCTGCTTTTGTAGTAAGCTAGCCATTCACAGTCTTTGTTTAATCCTGAGCAGATGGTGTCAAACTTGCAGGTGAACTGTAGCTCAGCAGTTTCTCTTTGAAGACTGGTCTTGAAGTTTTTTTGCTGCAGGATGGCTACTTTTAGATCTGCTATTGTGTGTCCAGGGAGACTGAAGTGTTCTCCTACAGGTTTTTGTATGTTGCCATTCCTAATCTGATTTGCGTCCATTTATTCTTTTACATAGAGACTGTCCAGTTTGGCCGATGTATATAGCAGAGGGGCATTGTTGGCACATGATGGCGTATGTTACATTAGTAGATGTGCAGGTGAATGAGGCCATGATGGTGTGGCTGATTTGGTTAGGTCCTGTGATGGTGTTGCTGGTGTAGTTATGACGGCAGAGTTGGCACCAAGGTTTGTTGCATGGATTGGTTCCTGAGTTAGAGTTACTATGGTGCAGCGTATAGTTGCTAGTGAGAAGATGCTTCAGGTTAGGGGGTTGTCTGTGGGCGAGGACTGGCCTGCCTCCCAAGGCCTGTGAAAGTGAGGGATCATTGTCCAGGCTGGGTTGTAGATCACTGATGATGCGCTGGAGAGGTTTTAGCGGAGGACTGTAGGTGATGGCCAGTGGTGTTCTGTTGGTTTCTTTCCTGGACTTGTCCCGCTGCAGGAGGCTTCTGGGTACACATCTGGCTCTGTTAATTGTTTCCATATTTCCTTGTGTGGGTATCTTAGTTTCAAGAATGCTTGGTGAAGATCTTGTAGGTGTCGGTCTCTGTCTGAGGGGTTGGAGCAAATGCGATTGTACCTCAGTGCTTGGCTGTAGACAATGGATTGTGTGGTGTGTCCGGGATGGAAGCTGGAGGTATGAAGGTAGGCATAGCGGTCGGTAGGTTTTTGCTATAGGGTGGTGTTTATGTGACCGTCAATTATTTGCACCGTGGTGTCCAGGAAGTGGATCTTCCATGTAGACTGGTCCAGGCTGAGGTTGATGGTGGGGTGAAAGCTATTGAAATCGTGGTGGAATTCTTCCAGAGTTTCTTTCCCAGGGGTCCAGATGATGAAGATGTCATCAATGTAGCGTAGGTAGAGAACGGGTGTGAGTAGATGAGAGCTGAGGAAGCATTGTTCCAGGTCAGCCACAAAATGTTGGCGTACTGTGGTGTCACGGAGATAGCTGGGAGTGCTGGTGGCGTAGGATCTGGAGTAGAGAGTCCACATATCCAGACAGTCCTTCAGTGAGAATGCCAATGCCCGAGATGACGGGGCATCCAGGATTTCCAGGTTTGTGGATCGTGGGTAGTAAATAGAATAACCCCAGTCAGGGCTCTAAGGGTGTGTCTAGACTACATGCCTCCTTCGACGGAGGCATGTAGATTAGCCAGATCGAAAGAGGGAAATGAAGCCGCGATTAAAATAATCGCGGCTTCATTTAAATTTAAATGGCTGCCCCGATCTGCCGATCAGCTGTTTGTCGGCAGATCG